CCCAAAACCCCAAAACCCCAAAACCCCTAAAGACTAAAATATTAAATCATTGGAGAATAAATATTTATTTTCATCAATCAAAAGCATTATTAATTTCATTTATCAAAGAATATAGTCATTATACTATCAAGAAAAATCATTATTAGTTATAAGTGTATCTTAAGAGACCAACTAATCAATATTTATAGTACCGACAGTTTCCCAATTAAGAGTACCACTCTTTTCTTCCTCCAATGCTTAAACGAGTAAATCCTTGTTCCTTAAGTTTGGCTAGTATTTATTAACTAACAGATATTTATCTCTGTCTCCTTCATCATTCTTGTTGTTTACATTGGTTCTCTCAACTTAATCTAGTTTTTATATATTAGCACTTTAGCCTCTCAGCTTCTTTTTTTTATGAGTGATTTTATTTTTATGGAACCTTGAAGAAGCATTTGTTGTAATATTAGTATGCTTATTAAGTATTTATATACTCTATCTCTCAGATATTTTCTTGAAAATACTCAAATATTGATTCTCAATTTGTTACCCAATAGATACTTCAGCTTATTACTTTTTATTATCAATGCTTTCTTGTTCCAGCAGATTTTCTAGATCTTAATAACTTAGCATTCTAGCACTTTGAATGATAGTTTGAGGCTTGCTTGGATTATAGATAATATTTGTTAAACTATCATCGAATGAGATTTTCAATTCCTAGCTTAAATCAGAGTTGGGTATTATTTTGCTTGATATTTTATCCTTGATTGCATGAAGTTTTACTCCCCTCTGTTTGTGACTAGGTGTCATAGATTATTTAATGTATCTTTTCAACTTAAAGTCAGCATCAGTGTTTAATAGATCTAGTTATCCAAATTTATCCAAATGTTTATGATCGCTTTAATCAGTATAGAATCTTGATTGATTGGCTGATTTTTAGATGTTTATAAAGTATTCATGAGGATAGTTTCTACTTTTATTGTTTGAGAGAAATTAATCAAATGACCTATCTAACTAATTATCGGAAAAGTTAATATCAACCTCCAATTCATCATCAATTTAAATATTTTCCCTCTCTTTAATTATTGCTTAGTCCTATTCGTTTAATTTCTAATGAGCACTTGACTTTATTCTTGTGCTGCGCTTTTATTTATTAGGATCATTTTAAACTTTAGCCAGAATCCCTCCAGCATCTAAAATTTTACTTTTTGACAGATACAACTATAGTTTTTCTAAAGACTTTTTGTTTAATACTATTTCTCCACTATCACACAATTAATCAATTTATTTCAGACTTTCAGAGAATTTTTCTCTCAAAATATCATTATCTTCTTCAATTACAGCATCTTCTAAAATCTGCTTATACTTTTGCTGATTGCCACAGAGACAAATAATAGTATATAGCTTTCCGAACTTCTTAATCATCATATTCTTGATTTCTCTTATCATTTTATAAAGCCAAAACGTGAAGAATGCTATATTTGAGAAAAAAATCAAAAGGAATAACACCATTTTAGTGTTTTATGATAAACTAACTAAGAAAAGATTTAAATGAAAATTAATTACATTAAAAGCTATCTTAAGAAGTCTCCTATGATCCATCAATATTGTTTATTGAGACAATAAAAAATATTCCGCAGTAAATTGTTGTCAGAGAAGTAACAACGGACAATGTTTCAAGGTCATTTAATGATATTGTTTAAAAAGGTCTTAAAGTTAGATTCAAAGCCATAAAGCCGATCAGTAAAATAAGTACTACCATTGCTTGAGTTATGACACCGTATTGAAGCAAAAAGACTTGAATGAAAATCAAAAATATCTTTCTGTACATAATTACTATTTCCCAGTAGTAATACTTTCTTTTATATCCTCTAAATAAAAACCCAAGTTTTTATCTTGTTACTATTTGATCTAATTACTTTTTATTTCTTAATAATAAAGCCAATCCAAAAAAGGGTATACCAAGACCCCAAACAATCATTGCTGGAAGCGCTACTGCAAGTGCCCAGAAGAAGTGCTATCCTCTGTAACATTCGATCTCAAGATCATTTTTAACTCTTGTTTCACCATCAATATCCACACAACTATAAAAGGGGAAAATCAGAATAAAAGTTAGCTTACTTGAATGTGTTAAAAACAAATTTGATTAGATTTGGATGAATTAAAAATAAAAGAATAACCATTGAGGATACACTTTTAGTATTTCTAATTGCTTTTTGACGGGGCTTTCTTAGAATTATCATCCATATAATGTTGCACAATATTAAAAGCATAAATGGCATTAAGGCGAAAAGAGCCAGCTTAAAATAGAATATTCTGATAAAGAACTGCTAGTTATTTTATTTCATCTATTATGAACTTTACTCTTTACTGTTTAAAAAGCAATCAACTGAGAAAATTTGATCAGAAGCTTCACCTACAGTCCTGCTAGTTTTAAAAAATTCCATAACAATGTCTGGCCATTTAAAGTTAAATGTTGAAGTCAATAGTATAAGCTGAATGTGGTTAAGAAGTATTTTCTAGTAAACACTAGTTATGTTTCTCACATCTCCTGCTCCATTAAGAGTTACTCTTATTAAAATTACTACTCCTACAATGACTCCAATCTATTTGATTAAGGTTAAGAATAAAGTATTATACAAATATTGCTGTTAATCTTAGGATGTTTTAAGTCTATTCAGGACATTTTAGGCATTCAAAATTTGACGATGAATATCTTGGTTAGCAATCTGTGCAGAGTATTCCTTGATACCCAGTTTTACATGAGCCTTATGGATTATTTTCTGGTTTAACGATTCCCCTAAGCCAAATATTTTAAAGCTATCTATACTTACAAGCATGCTTCTGTAACAAAACATTATATAAAATTTGAAGTATAATTGCTTTTTCTCCAATATCCAGGCTAAGGACCTATGTCTGATCCTCCTCTACAAATTGCAACTGAGGATGGACAGGTTCGACATTGACCTGGCTCTGTCATCTTAACTAGCGAGAATGATTTACCCACTGGGCAAGGATCACAACTGAATAAAGCATTAAATATAATATGAATAATTCTTACGCTCCTGACTCAGTAAATCTTTCTCCAATGCTACATTCTCGTAATTTTATTTCAACAAGAAAGTCATTCTATATTTATTGCTGAGATGAATCGTTCAATTTCTAAGTATCCTTATTATTCGGCTTATTTTTGTCGATTCCATCAGAGAGGAAAGATAACTCATAGGAATATCCTGGGGACCCTGTGAATTGAACTCCTTCAAGCTTGTAAACACCGTTTTCTGAATAAAAAGTCGTTTTGCCAGTTATTACTGGAGAGTACATATCTTAAGTTTATGATGTCGCATTTAATTTTCTCCCAATTATAGATATTTACAATTTTTGATCATTCTATGTTCCCACAATCTATCCATATTTATCTGCTAAGGCCAAATACATTTAAGGAAGTGAATCTCCACTTCTAAAATGACCTTAAGATATGTTGTTTTAATCTGAAACTAATTCATCATTGGCCAACAGTCTTCTTTAATCTTAATCAATGACTCTCTAAAGCTACTTATTATACTGTTCTTCTGAAATTTTGATCAATTTTTAGGGGTAACTTGCTATATTGTTAGCATATATTCTTGCTTTATTATTTTAAAATATCATCTAGGCCTCTTAATTCATAATTGGTTATACATCATTCCAAAATATTGCTCCTCCTGAGTTATTTGCCTAATTTGAGGTGAAATTTTGAAACCCTGAAAATGATAAACTAATTGAAAGATTAAAAATATAAATTATAATACAAGTTGCATTATAAAGTATCAGAGCACTCAGTAAATATTCCTCCTCCATTTTTTTAGGCATAGTTGCTTGCAAAAATGTTATTCTTAAAGGTGATCTAATATAAGTTAGAGAGTTGAATTGCTGCACCATTAGAAACTAATGCTTTACAGTTTTGAAAATATGAATCGATTATCTAAAATAGATTAAATCTTAATTTTTACGATATATTATTAAAGAACATTGTCTTTCAAATATTTATTCTTTATTCCATCAGTTTAGGCAAGGTATAATCCTCCACCTGATTAGGCTGATGAATTAAAAATTCTCAGAATTTTTGCATAGAATTATTTGCAATCAGTACATGTAATGGCCCCACCGGCCTCAGCATATTACTCTAATTGAGATTTCCCTAAAAATAATATTAAAAATTGAAATTATTACTGTTTATTGTCAGATTATAAGAAATGAAACTCAAGTATTCAAAAGATAATGAAGTAGCTGATTCATAATTTGTAATGATAGAATTATTCATTTGAATTCCTACAATAGAAGAAGTTGCATATATATCACCTCCATATCCATATGAAATACTTTTGCTAAAGATTGTCTCATTAATCTTAATATAACGGAAGCTTTAAGCTTATATAGCTCCACCAGACTCATTTGCAAATGAGTTTTAAAAGTTTGACTTTTAAATGTTTAAAAGAGAATCTAGAAAAATTATTACAAATAAAATATTACCTCCTGACATAAAGATAGAGCCTCCATACTTTGCAAAACCATAATTAAATTATGAGCTAATTAAGTTTACTGTAGAATTCATAATTATATGAATGAATGCACCTTCAATATTCCCCAAGATTGCCTTGTATTTTTGCTCATTGATGTTCCTTTAAGAAAAATATTAGAAATTCAAACTTACGAAGCATCATCTTAGAATGTTGTATCAATGATAGTAATATTTGAGAATCCCACAAATATATTTTTGGAATTCTTATTTGCATAGTTCTTAATAAATTTTGATTCTTAAATGAGGACATTATATGCATACATAAATTGAATTGTATTACTTTCTGCAACATTATATTGGAATTTAGAGCCTTAAATTAGCAAATTTTATTTCTAATTTAAGAGTTAATGAAGAATTATTACCATGCTAGATTCAAGGACGCTAATAGCTGAAATTTAGGGAGCGTAATTGTAGCTAAAAATGCAATTAATTATACTAAAATAAGAGTTTGTAACTAGAGTAATAGCTCCACCTTTTTATAAAGCTGTAT